TATTTCTCTTTGTGATTAATAATTATGGGGCGATACTTTGAGACTATGAAAGTATTCCATGCCTCATCAACTTTCACTCACTAGTTTTAGTGTCCACTTGGCTTTGTAACTCAGTCATTCCTTCTGTCTTTAGACTCCTGTCAGGCTTATGCAGCTGGGTAGAGAACAGCACCTCGTCCTAAGATGGGGACAACCTGGGGAGGAACAGGCTTCCAGAAGGCTGGGATAGAGATTTATTGTGGGGACATAATGCTAGAGGCATCAGACTCCTAGAAATAACTCGTAGCATTTCATTTTACTGACCTGAAGCCCAGGGTTAGAGGTGATGGTTTGTCAGTTCCTCAAGATTGGGGCCCACCACCTAGTTGAGATCTGATTTCTGAATCCATACCTAGTGCTTGGTGCTGTGCCTGAACAGCAGGGGGACTCACAGCAAGGTTAGCAGCCTGGCCCTACAGGCTTTATGGGTTTGATCCCGTCTGTCCCTTCAGGGGTCGCTGTGCTTGGGCAGGTGTAAGTGAGTTCACTTGTAGCTGTTGCATATCCACAGTCCCTGCCGTGTGCTGTGGGTACCGCCTCCCCTCCCCACCCCTGTCCCCCCAGCGCATACCCTGGGGAAGTTTTCTCAGGCTCTCCTCCTGCTGAAGGTAATTCACACTTGGCATGTTTTCTTATCTGAAAACATTATCTCCCTCCAGATAAATTTTTCCTTTGTGCAGATCACATGACTCAAAGGCATACACTTTGTGTTCTCGTATTTCTTCCAGATATTGATGTAATTGGACATGGTTGCTCAGAGCAGGTCTAAATAGGAACACTGTATTTCATCTTCAGAGTGGACGGTGTGCCGTCAGAGGAAAATGGAAGACGTTTCTGTGACTCCGTGTGTGCTGCCAGGTCGGCGGTCGGCGGTGGGCAGTGGGGAGGTTGTCAGGGATGGATGGCACTGTGGCCGCAGCCTCTTGGGACTGGAGGTGGTTCTGCTTCAGCTTCATTACTGTGGGGCTGCTTGGTGGGATGACACCTGAACAGTAAACTCTTGCTTTTCTAGAAACCTTTCCTAATCTTTACATTTTTCCAAGCAGTGCGCTAGTGACGGTGAGCGGAGGGCAAGGAAGCAAAGATGGAACACCGGCCAGTTAGGCAGCTTCGTTCACAGACCGCAGACCTCCCCTAAGCCAGCCTTACGCTCCAGTTTACGTTGGCCCTCAGCACAAACTCAGGTGGTGGCACCCTGGACATTCGGGTAGCTTTGCAGCAGAGGGACAGTCAGTTCTTGAATTGCGGGACAGCACCCACGGATTGGACGCTGGGGGAAGCACCCCCTCCCGTCAGTGTGGGCGAGCGAGTGGGGTGCAGCACAGGAAAGCTCCCAACCGTCGGGCTGGTCAGTGGTGCGGTTTCTGCACAGGCGTGCTCGTTTCGTTTCAGTAACGGGCATTGCAGTGGTGAAAGGCATTGGTCCCCCAGCCTGGCTGTACGCTGCTGTTAATTCAAGTCATACACATTTGCCCAGTGCCGTTTGGTACCAGGCACTTCGTGAGGGAAGGGGATAGAGTGGTAGACAAGACAAAGTCCCTGTCGTCATGGATAGAGACATTAAACAGATGCGGTTTATGAGATGATGATAAATTCTGTGAAGAAAAATGAAGCAGAGGGGCGCCTGGGTGGCTCAGTCGTTAAGCGTCTGCCTTCGGCTCAGGTCGTGATCCCAGGGTCCTGGGATCGAGTCCCACATCGGGCTGCTCGTTTGGCAGGAAGCCTGCTTCTCCCTCTCCCACTCCCCCTGCTTGTGTTCCCTCTCTCGCTATGTCTCTCTCTGTCAAATAAATAAATAAAATCTTTAAAAAAAAAAAAAAGAAAGAAAGAAAAAATGAAGCAGGGAAGGGAGTAGAGGTGTTATTTTAGATAGCGTGGTACCCGGGCTGCTCTTTGGAGCAGAGACCTGAAGTGAGTGCAGTATTAAACCATGTGATTAGGGGGAGTAGAGGGTGAAGGGAACATTCCAGGGGTGAGGGAATGTGTCACAATAAGCTGGGGAACTTTTTAAATGTACACAGTTTTGGAACCTGACTCAGTTGGTCTGGGATGGGACCCAGGGATCTGCTTTTCTAGAAGAGCTTGCCAGAAGATTCTGGGAAGCCAGGTTCAGGAGCTACTCTTTTTTTTTTTTTCAGTCTTGGTGCTGTACATTCTGTGGGTTTAGGCAAATATATGATGACAGGTATCCATCATACTTTCACCGCCCTGGACATCCATTTCTGATGTGGTTTTTAGGAGCTCATGAAGATGAGAAAGGTGGGGAGGAGCATCTGTAAAACAGATTTCCTTCCCCGCCCAGGAACATGAATTAGGAGTTTGGCTTAAGCGGGCAAATGCAGTGGTGAGCCTAAGCCCCTCTGCACAGATCTCAGAGAGCCTGCTGTCAGTAGCTGCACAGTTTAAGGTGATATGAATCACTTAAAACCATATGAGTAATGCCCATGAATCATCCCAGAATTTCTATAAATCTTCACTTAAACATTACATTCTCTTGCATTCTATTTGAGTATGTTTCCTTACTTTTATTGGAGACAAGCTTTTGCATCAGAGAGGAAGAAAAGTCACTTAGATTTATTCTGTCACCGTTACATCAAATCCCATTCAGTGATGTCTAAAGTGGTTCTTGGAAGAGTAGAATCAGACCTGGTTACCTGGGCATTTAGACATATTGAACTTGTTCAGTAATTGGAAGCCGGTGAGGAAAGAACGATTTATAACCAACAGTTTACTTTGGCTCTGTTATACTCACTTAAAGGTTGTAGGCCTCTTTCATGGATGCAAAATTTTGAATAATACCAGCTTCTTTATTAACTAGTAGCCAACAATGCTTTTTGTTTTTCTTTACAAAATCTCTTTTCAGTGTTGCCAAGAAAAAGAAAAATTGATTTTGTTTCACATCTGTTCAACTTTAATAGGACAGAAAATAAATGCTTGCCTGCCCAGAGGATAGGTGATTGGAGGAAAAATAAACTTGTACAGCATATTCCACAGCAGGCGTGTTATAAATCCTCGATCCCTGATCGAGTTGGCGTGACTTCACCCTCTAGGACTCCACAGGACGCTTCCAGAGCCAAGTCTCTGCACAAACTCAATGGCCTGTTTCAGCTGTTTTGTCCAGAAATGTTTGGGGGTGGGAGAGCTCTCAAATCGCCTTATCTAACTGCTTCTTTTTACAAATGAGAAAACAGAGGCAGAGAGGGGAAATGTCTTGCCCTAGAAACAAAACTGGGGAAGAATGTGACAGGCGTGGATATTTATATCTGAACACCCGAGGCCCCATTTTATGATACTCTCAATTATTTCTAGTGTTTTCTGCGTGTGATAAAATTCTCAAAGTGACATTTTAAGACTGCTGCATTCTCCAGGAGTTTGTAAATTGACATCATATCATAATAAAAAAGAAGATGTTGCTACTTCCAGTAAATTTAGGTATGACCCTAAAGCTTCCTAGGGGAGAGATGAAGAACACAGAAAAGAACAGTTGACTTACCTCCTGTTTTTTTACGGGCTAACTTTCAAAACAGAACTGTTAGTTATAACGCTTTGGGTGAGGTTTCTTTCTTTTTTTTTTTAAATTTGTTAACTCAGCGCAGTTCACCGAATTCTGTGTAGCAGAGGAGAGAGAGATGATGTGCAAGATGAGAAAATTCTAGATAAAAAGGGGAAGTTATGGAGAAAATGTATTGGGCTGGAGGGTGAGGACAGTTAATTGGTGGATCTTGGGCAAATTAAGGTCTTTCCTGAAGGAAAGAAATGTTAAGTCAAAGTGACAAAAACTAAAGAGATCAAGAGACTTAGCTGGGGAATCAGGAGAAAGGGAAGACAAAAGGAGGGAAAAAGACACACTTGAGGTTACTGAGTTGGAAAGGCATGGCAGCTCTCCAAGAACTGAGAGAAGGAGGTGACAGAGTGACGGTAGGCTCTGAAGCAAGACTATTTCAAAATAGATTTGAGTGACTCTTACCAGCTAGGGTTAGAAGAGACTCGAGACCAGCTTTCACCATATTTTTGACAAACGGGTGGTCATCCAGCCTACGAGGACATCACCTGCACACTGATGATGTTCGGATAACAAGCCGCCATAGTACAAGTACATGCATGGAGGTTAAGAGTTGTTTTTTTTTTTTAGGATTTTATTTATTTGGTGGGGAGGGGGAGAGAGAGAGAGCACGAGCTGGGGAGAGGGGCAGAGAGAGAGGGAGAAGCAGACTCCCTGCTGAGCAGGGAGCCCGACGCTGGGCCCAATCCCAGGATCCTGGGATCATGACCTGAGCCGAAGGCAGATGCTTAACCGATCGAGCCACCCAGGTGCCCCACTGAGGTTAAGAGTTTAGACACTGGTAGCAATTTGCCAGAGTAATTTTACGTCTGTTGAATCTGATGATAAAATAATTGGGGCCTGCATTTTATGTGTCTTTTTATTTCAGTTTTCTAATAATTCCTTCATTTTTTAATTGCAGTATAATTGACATAACATTGTATTAGCTTCAGGTACACAACACAATGATTCAATATTTGTATACATTGCAAAATGATCGCCACGGTAAGTCTGGTTAACCTGTCACCTTACACAGTTACAAAACTTTTTTTCTTGTGATGAGAACTTACAAGATCTACTCTCTTGGCAGCTTTCCAATATGCAGTACAATATTATTAACTGTAGTCACCATGTGGTACATTATATTCCCATTATGAAGTAGGGATCCTTACTCAGGTGGCTCTCAGTTCTTCGGTTGTCTGTTTTTTAAGAAGTAGCATTCTGAATCCTGGAACAAGTGTTTTGTAGTCAGAAGTTATAAAAAATGTATATATATATATTAATCTAAGGTTAACAAATGACATTTCCTAGGTGGGGTTCATATGCTGATAATTATCTACTTTATAGAGTTTTAGTACATAAATATTTATAGCTGTTTCTGTTCTTTCATAGAAATTTTACATTTTTTTCCCTTTCTTAGGACAAAGTTAAACTATAATCCTCCAAAAGATGATGGATCAACCTATAAGATTGAACTTGAAGGGATATCGGTAATGGTTATGAGAGAGATCCTGGATTACATCTTCAGTGGGCAGGTATGATGAGACACACAGGGAGGAAGACTTAAGTAGAGGCCTCTCAAGCTCAGGGTGAGGGTCTCCTTCATCCATTCTATGACCCAGCAACATTGTCCTCTTCATCAGTCATTGTCTGCGTGACATGTATCTCCTGCTGGGAATGACGCCCAGCTGTTCTTCTGGGGCTCTGCTCTTAAAAGAAAAGCAGACTGAGTAAAATCTTAACCCAGTCCCAGTTTTTGTATTTATCATTCTGAGCTCCACCTTCCATCGTGAGATGGGAAGGACCTGGGATGCTCCTTTCATGGCTGTCTTTATGTTTTTAAACCTTAATTCCCATCTTGCTCTGTACCCCATAACCTGGAAATGGGAGCTTCCTTGGGCAGTGGGAGTTATTTTATAGAAATAAAGAGTCTGAGATTCATACAAATGACAAGCACCTGCGTTGTGTTCATGATGCCTGGGTTCTGTTGCCCCACTAGGACCAACATCCCTGTTGCACCCCATTCTTGCTGATGTCCCTTTACTTTCTGCCCACTTATATTTCTGGGGATTTAATGAAACCCAAGGGAAAAGGTGATAAGTGATTAGACTTTTTCTTTTTCTTTGCCATCCTCAAGCCCCCAACCCCTGATTTTGTGATTTAAAATGTAGCACGAGGGCTCTTATGAACAATCTTAGGTTGAACCAGGGCTAGTTTATTAACAGGAAGAAATTAGTGTATCTTACATTTGGGTATGTGAGAATACATTTTATCTTGACTCTTTTTGAGAGCTTCTTTCCTTCTCTCTCCTGTATTCCATCCTCATCTTATTTTACCTTTCCTGTTTGTAAGAGCCGCCTCCTACATGTTTTCTAACACACTGCTTGCCTTCTCTGCATATATTCATTCAGTCAACCTCGGTGATTGTCATTCTTTTTGAAGTTTTTGGGTTAATTTCATGATGTTACCCCTTCTCTTTTCTCTGAACAGTAGGTGGGGGGGGGGTATGTGCATGTAAGATGATGTGTGTGATTGTTAAAAATAAATGAATTTAGATTGATTTGGGACAGTCCTTAAAATACTGAAGATACTCGGAAGCATCACAAACCAGGCTGAGGACCAACCTCTCATCTAACTTTTAAAATCATTTCAGCAGCAACTATAACAAGTTACAAGCCAGGAGGAACATATTCCTCTTCGGGCTTGGATTTGAATCTTGAAACCTTATTTACAGATAGACTTCTGTGTTTTGTTCCCAGTTAAAATTAATTATGGTTTAAGAAAAGAAAAATAGAGAAAAAATTTAATTATGGTTTATAACCATAGTTGCAACATAAGTTATAACCAACTCCTGATCTGGCACTTCGGTTTTACCAGGATGGAATGTGGTGGTTTTCTTGCATGCCTGTATCTGACTGGTGTACAGCCATCCACTGCTGTGTGGCTGAATTTATTTATTTTTTTAAAAGATTTTATTTATTTATTTGACAGAGAGAGACAGCGAGAGAGGGAACACAAGCAGGGGGAGTGGGAGAGGGAGAAGCAGGCTTCCCGCGGAGCAGGGAGCCCGATGCGGGGCTTGATCCCAGGACCCCGGGATCATGACCCAGGCGCCCCTGTGTGGCTGAATTTAATACATCAAGTAAATGGGAAATTTTTCCTTACTTGTGACTTGCTCGACACACTTGTTTCCACAGTTCTGTTGCTCAGTTTATATAAGGTGACTGGCAGTCATACATTCTTTTTCTGCATCTGTGGTACACAATGTGTGAAATGTGACACAACATTTCTTGCTGTACTGTACTCTGGAGCCTCTCCTTCTCATTTCCAAGTGTGGGACAAGCGCCCATTCTTTGGGAGAGGAGAACCTGGACCGTTGTGATTGTGGCAATGTTTTAGAGGCTTGTTTCTTCACATCGCCTTAGTGTTGCATGCAAGAACTGTGAGATGGGAGGAGGAAGCAGCATCAGAAGATTAAGGAAAAGTGAAGTTCTTAATGATAAACAAGAAATCTTACCTTAGGGATTTCTTCCAGAAAATAGGTTTGAGACCAGAGTGTACATGTGGCACCGAATGCGATGTTTGGCATTCAGAATGAGGTCCTCCGGCCGCGTGGCCCGCCCCTCTCCAAGGGACCGGTGTGGTGTGTCTGGCATGCCATCTGGCAAAAGACGGAACGTGGTGTATCTGGAGGCAGGATTTGACGCAGTTCCAGTGCTGGTGTTTAAAGGAAACCCTTTCAGTTTACCACAGAAGGCAGCACTGTCCACCTCGCAAGCATTTCGGCCACTTAGTTCTAGAAGTGAGCAACGCGGACAGTGCGCCCGGGAAGGGTTCGTGATAGTTAATGTTGGTAAAGCCAGGGAAGTGCTGGGAAAAGTCAGCCAGCCATGTTCTGTTCACATTGTTTGAAGGTTCACCGGTGCCCTCAAACTCCTTTTGAAAAAGAAGCACTGGGCTGGACTGTGTGAAATTGCCAGTAGTTGATCATCTCTGACCTACAGAAGTGGAGCTTTCATACGGTTCAGCCTAATAGGTTAGTGGTTTGGGCTTTAAATACATACATTGAAGCGTAAAATATTTATGATACTCTTGTAGATCCGGCTGAACGAAGATACAATCCAAGATGTTGTACAGGCAGCGGACCTGCTCCTGCTGACAGATCTTAAAACTCTGTGCTGTGAGTTTTTGGAAGGCTGCATCGCAGCCGAGAACTGCATTGGCATCCGCGACTTTGCCCTCCATTACTGCCTGCACCATGTCCATTACCTAGCCACGGAGTACCTGGAGACTCATTTCCGAGACGTCAGCAGCACAGAAGAATTCTTAGAACTTAGTCCTCAGAAGCTTAAAGAAGTGATTTCTCTCGAGAAGTTAAATGTCGGCAATGAAAGATATGTGTTTGAAGCAGTGATTCGCTGGATAGCACATGATACAGAACTAAGAAAGGTACCTGTGGTTTATAACGTGGTCTGACCCTGCCTTTTTACCTCCTTATTCCATTCGTTCACTCATTTATTGGGTGTTTTCTCCTTTCCCATAAACTGGAAAGGCTTACGAAGTAGTGATCTAAAAGATGTCTGGGGGCGCCTGGGTGGCTCAGTCATTTGGGCCTCCAACTCTGGATTTCGGCCCAGGTCGTGATCTCTCGGGGTCATGAGATCGAGCCCCACATCGGGCTCCATGCTCAGAGAAGAGTCTGCTTGGGATTCTCTCTCCTTCTCCCTCTGCTCCCCCCATGCTCTCTCTCTTTCTGTCTCTCTCTCAAATAAATAAAATCTTTAAAGAAAATAAAATAAAAGATGTCTGTGGTACATCTTTGCATAGGATCACTGAAGTGGTTGTTTTTTTCAGACCAGACTACAAAAGCGCATGTAACTCCTAATATGGCAATGAAAATATTAATACTTGTAAGGAACATAATATCCTTTCTGTATTGCTTTTAGCGGGAAAATGCATTTCAAGCTTAAGCTGGGGATTTTAGAGATTCAATGTCTCTAACTCTCTTGTTCAGCATCCATCTCTGCACCATTACTGGGCGGACCCACACGGGGACTCTGATAAGGGCAGCAGAGTGAGAGAGGTGAGGGGAGGGGGCGTCTGGAACCTCTGTGGTGTGGGCTCTCCCTGGAGTGATCGACACCACTCAGCAGAGAGCAGGAGAGCGCTCTGCAGTGCGGCAGTGCGGTTCCAGAGGGGAAGGTTCTGGGAGCAACGGCTGGGAAGGAAGGGTCTCAGAGAATATCAGCCTTTAGATCCAAACTGGCACCACAGCGGGGGAGGGAGCAAAATCACGGAGCTTTAAGTCCAGTGTTTATAGACTCCAGCTACAACTGCTATATTTGAAATAAGAACTACGTTAGGTTTTAGGGAAGTTTTCAAAATGTATAATCGCATTGTTAATGGTTCTCAGCAACTGTTGACTTGGGTTTTAGTGAATATCTTGTACTTTTTAAAATTCTATAGGCTTATTTAGAAACTGTGGACTACTGTAACACGGATGGAAACTGTTGCGCAGTGATGATAAAGAAACGCACACTCCCGTATGGTCGTAGTCTCAGCATAGTCGGTACAACTAGCATTCGGTTTTCCACATTTGTTGGGTAGATGAGGAAAGGAGATAGGAGAGTTCCCAGTTTGCTCCCGCGCACAGAGACCACAGTCGTTAGCTGTCATTTCCTTTCTTCTTCAAGGGGCGAGGTTGACTATTCCAAAACCAAGAGAAACTAGTCACTAAGGAGTTTCACCTCGTGTATGTAGAATGCTGTAGTCCGTTAGTTCAAATTTAATGAGTCATCATGAAAAGTACATAATTCATATTATATGTTAGATTTTTTTAACAATGAAGAAATACATAGTACTCAGAATTTTTCTGAACTATACCTTTTCTGTGTTTTTCTTGTAATGTTAATGTTGATCTATTTTAATTATCTATTTAACTGTACAGAATCAAGCTACTCCTGTGTATAATGTTCCCATGAATGTGATTTAACTCCCAGCACATCCAGCTGTGTGAAATAAGGCCACTGCAGCCGAGTGACCCTTTGGGGTATAAAGAAAGCTGCTTGCTGATGATTCTTTAAGTTAAACTTGTCTTTATCAAGGCTATGGGGAAGTAGAAAGGAAAGGGGCCAGTAAAGCATATTCCTGCACTTGTGACTTGCCCGCTGATAATCCTTTAACAATTTCAGCTTTTCCGTGAGTCAGAAAACATATGTTCTACAAACTGTGTGCTGTGTCCTACATTTTTTTTCTCCCCATCCTTCCTACCCTCTGGTGCAGGTCCACATGAAGGACGTGATGTCAGCTCTGTGGGTTTCAGGGTTAGACTCCAGCTACTTACGGGAACAGATGCTCAATGAACCATTAGTACGAGAAATTGTCAGAGAGTGCAACAACATACCGCTGAGCCAGCCGCAGCAAGGGGAGGCCATGCTCGCAAACTTCAAGCCCCGGGGCTACTCGGAGTGCATTGTGACTGTTGGCGGAGAAGAAAGAGTGTAAGTATGGATCTGCATCGTTTCAAGAGTCGTAAAGGAAGAGCTATTTCCGTATAAACAGGAATTCATGGTATTTTTTTTTTTTTTGGTATCTAAGCATAATAGCAGTAGATTTTTTTTAAATGTTTTAAACATTCTTTAGAGCAGTAAAACTAGTCATAGTTATTATAAGCAGAACTATATAAAACACATTAACTGCTAATCAATTATTTATTTCCTTAGTTCACGGAAACCAACAGCAGCGATGCGATGTATGTGCCCTCTTTATGACCCTAATAGGCAGCTTTGGATTGAACTGGCCCCTTTAAGCATGCCAAGAATTAACCACGGAGTTCTCTCAGCAGGTACCATTCTGTGGTCAATTTTACTTAAACACAAGATCGAGTAATATGTACTTTTAGGGTTGTACAGAATGATTCAAAACCTTTTAGAGATTTAATTTTAAGAGATAATTTTATTATCTCCATGATGACGTCTTCTGTGTAGCTCTCGCTTTCAAGACTTTGTAAGGAGAAGAGTATCTTCTGTCAGTCTTTATTGTTCCTGAATCTTTAATACGTAAGCTATTTTTAAGACTTTAGTAGAGGAGCATTTTATTTGATGTCTTACCGATAGAAGAGCCACATTCAGTGACTCTTCCCACTCGTTAGCTCTGTGGCTGCACCCAGAACACGGAATTCCCTTGAGCCATAATAGTCCCGTTTTTTTGAATTCATGCAATTTAGAATTAAGTAACTACATGAAAAGTAAAGGTGTTATGTCAAAGCAGCCATTTTGTGTGAGACTTTAGAAAACATTTTTTATATTAGCAAGGCTTCAAGTTATTTTACTACAGAACGCATGTTTCACTTGACCTTCCCAAGTTTGAAAACGGCTCCATGTTAGTCAAAGCTCTCACTCACGAAGGTGATAGGAAAGGCTGTACTTGCTGCCTTCTGACTGTTCGCTGCCTTTCTCTTCACCTTGCTCTGCTCTTTTGGGTCCACCCACAAGTGCCATTTCACTAAATTCCAATTAAAATCAACAGTCTTCCAGGAATCCTTCATATTTTATAGTCTCTGCTTGCCCACTAACATTACTTTAAAGATTTTGAAAGCTATACCATACCATTCCATATTATAGAAATGGCCAAAGCTGTACTATAGTACAGAAATGGAATCATTTTTGGGGTTCCAAAATGATTGAAGTTATTGTCAGTAATAAGCAGCAGGATGCAGTGGGGTAGCCAACAGGATGTGAGTCTGATTTCCTTGTTCTCTCTTCTCAGAATTAGCTGCCTTACATTTCCTTCCCACAACGTGTACACCTTTTCATAGTTTTCACACACACATACCTGCCACAATGTTTCCTATGTCACAGATTTTCCAAGATTTCCTCGAGGGGTTGGTATTTCAGAAACATTGAGCAGTGAGGATGGGGTCGTGTCCAGTTGTAGTGAACAAGGCTGTGACATGACCAAGTGGTTCCTATTTGTCCAGCCAGTACTGTGTTACTTCTTTTCCTGCCTTTTTTTTTTTTTTTAAATTGATGGACTTTTTTTGTCATTCACTTTGTTTCTGCTCTTCCAGGTTAGAAGTTATATTCTTTGTCTATATTGCTTTGAAAGTCATCATAGATACCATAGCCTGTATTCTTAAGTTATAAAAGCCCAAGTGCATTTCTCCTGTTCTTCATGTTTCACAGTCTTGCATTATTAAAATATATGACTATTTATGAATAAGTATCTACATATGAATGTTTGATTCATCTGTTTTGAATATATGCATATAGAGAGAGAGAGAGAGAGAGAATGTTTAGATTTACCCACATATTCACCACTTTCTTTGTTTTTCCTTCTTACTCCTCAGACCTTCCATCTAGGATTATTTGCCTTCTCTCTGAGGTCTATCCTTTTGAATTTCCTTTATTGTGGTCTACTGGTAGCAAACGCTTTGATTTCTTTGTCTAACAATGTCACTGTTTTGCCTTCATGCTTAAAGGATACTTGTGCTGGGTATAGAATTTTAGGGCATCTTGACTCTGTGGCTTGGCCTTTCCTCAAATCTGGAAAATTCTTATTTTTACATATTCATGTATTGCCTCTGCCCCATTGTCCTCTTTCCTCCTGCTTTGGAAGTCCAATTAAACATGGCTACACTTTTTGCTCTGTCCTTAGCCTCCTGCCTCTGTTTTGTCTTGTTTTTCATGTTTTTGCCTCTCCATGTGCTGCCCTCTTTATGGTTTCTTTTGACTTACCCTCCACTTAATGAGTTCTGTCTTCAACTGTGACAGATCTGCCATTAAACCCATCTATTAATTTTTTTAAATTTTATCTGGTGTTTTTCTTTTTTTATTCCTAGACATTCTCTTTAAATCTTTTTCAGATCTGCTGTGTGACTTCTACAGCCCTCTTTTTCCAAGAGTTCTCTTAAAATTTGTCTTTCAGGGCATTTGCATCAGGCTCCCTGCTCAGTGGGAAGTCTGCTTCTCCCTCTCCCTCTGCCCCTCCCCCACGCTCATGCTCTCTCTTGCTATCTCTCTCTCTCTCTCAGATAACTTAATAAAAGCTTTTTTAGAAATTTGTCACTCAGTTTTTAAACAGAGTAAGCATTCTCATTTTATCATCTTTCTGGGTAGTCCAGTATTTGAAATTTGAAGTCTTTGCAAGACTACTTCCTGTTGTTTGTTGTTGCTGGTTCTTCTTTATAGAGTCTAGTTTGTGTGTCCGAGTATCTTTGGTTGGGTGCTGATCATTTTATTAAAAATTATTTATAGGAATAATTTGATGCTTTAAAATCTTAGAATATTAGAATCTAAAGATTAGGTAAGGATACTTCCTTCCACACAAGTTTTGCATTTGTTTCTTCCAGTTGCCTATAAGCACTGCAAATTTGGACTTGAATTACTGTAAATCAAATTCAAACCTTGAGATCTCCTAGACAAGGGAGGAGATTTAAATCTGGGTTCTAATTCCTGTTGAACTTTGGAGAGGCTCTCGTGCCAAAAGTCACACTTCCTGTGGGCCTGGGATTTTGATTTTTGTCCCTTTCAAGCCCTCAAAGCCATTATAAGAAAGGTTGGAAATTTCCCAGTGTGGTAAATGCCTTCAAAGCAAAATGGTTTCCATGGGTGGTGACCTCTCCAGCTCCCACTTTTCCTTTCAGCTTTGCCGTATTGTCCTGTTGGCTTCTTCTCTTTTAAGATTATTTCAAAAATGCTTGTCAAACAAAACAAAACAAAACAAAAATGTTTTGTCCAGCAATTTAGCTGTTTTGCACAGGAGTTGGTATGAATAACTTAATCCACCATTACTTGAAATAGGAACTTCAACAGTGATTCTTAGATGCTGTTTTTAATATGAAGTGCACAGGTGCCCCGGATCTGAGTGCTCCTGGGTCTTGAACGAGCATATGTGGGCTGTGGATCGGAAGTTGTTTGAGAATCACAGAGAGGGGTAGGATAGGTGGAGCTGCTTGGTGTCCGTGTGGGTGGTGCCAGTCTGGGTTGTACGCTGTAGGGTAGTCGGAATCCACTCAGCTGCCGAGTGAGGTGAATTGGCCAAAGTGACCCACAGATGTGAATTAGCCTCTCTCAGTGAGGATCGAATGAATTGTGATGAAGACCTCAAATCCACTGTTGTCATTAGAGAAGTTGCCTCCACATACTGTCTCTACAGCTGTGCCATTTGTATTCAGCAGGAGATGGAAGTTGAAGAGTGAAGTTTCAACTTTCTCGTGTGTCTCATTTGATTTTTACAGAGGGATTCTTGTTTGTGTTTGGGGGCCAAGATGAAAATAAGCAGACCCTGAGCTCAGGAGAAAAATACGACCCAGATGCAAACACATGGACGGCATTGCCACCAATGAATGAGGTAAAACGGTCTTTTTCATTTGTTTGGAAGTGTGTCTGTCTTCCCTTCAGCACTTCCCTTTGTTTTACATCTGTGTACATGTAAGGAGAGAAATGGCGACCCGCCACACCCCCTGCTGGCTACGCTAGTGGCCACCGTCCCAGCTCTCCTCTCGTCCATCAGACCTCCTCGTGGCTCCGCAGACCTGCACACTCGTGCTTTGGGACTTCTGCCAGCTGCCCATGGGGCTCGCTCCTTGCTTCCGCCAGTGTTTGTCCACGTGGGGCTTCCCAGGAAGCCTTCCCTCCCGCCCCTCAGCTATCCCATCTCTGCCTGTTTTCTTCCTCTTCATATCATGTGGCACTTTCTCACATATTGGGTATTTTTTAATTTTTCACACAAACGATGGCTGAGGATTTTGTCTGTCTGCTCAGAGCCCCGTCTTTAGTGCTAGAACAGCGCTGGGCACAGCGGGGATGGCGGGGACACCAAGTATTTGTTGTCAAATGACCCCTCAGGCTTCTGTCATTCCACTTGGCTGTAGCAGGAGCCTGGCCTCCCTGTGCCTCTCCCATCCTCGGGCAGTGCTCTTGCTGTGGTTCTTCCTTGTCTTTCACACACCAACTTGGAAACACTTAGCTACAGCCCATTGCTAAACACAGATAGTTTTAGTGAACCAGAAGGTAATAGTTCTTGTTGTTGTGAGCTGTGGTGAGTAAAAAATGGTGATTCCGCCAGTGAATTTATCATTGTCCCGAATAACTCCTGGGTTGGGTTCTGTCTCTTGTGACAGAAGGGTGAGCTGCTTAGGGAAATTACAGATGTCTGAGAGAGATGGTTTTGAGCATGCACCTCTTTGCTGAAACTCTGGAATGTGATGATATCTGTAATTTTTATTAAATGTGTGGATATCTGCTTTCAGTCTGGTAGTTGTGTACAGAGATCTTTGATGTCTTTTCAGCCACGACATAATTTTGGAATTGTGGAGATAGATGGAATGCTGTACATTTTAGGAGGAGAGGATGGTGAAAAAGAGCTAATTTCCATGGAGTGTTATGATATTTATTCTAAAACCTGGACGAAGCAACCTGATTTGACCATGGTTAGAAAGGTGAGAACCGTATCTTGTGATTACAAATTGGCTTTTAAAGTGAGCATTTCTTCTTTTCCCACATACGCCTTTTTTAGTGCAATCGGTAGTGTTAAAAGAGTGAACGTTGTAGGCTTCTGTCGCTATCGGTGGCCCGCCTTCATGGTCCTCCGCCGTGCACCAGGATAGGAGACGGAGTGTGTGCGAGAGCTCGCCCTGACGGTGGGCTCTGCGCTGGGCTGCTGTGTCCGTGCCTGCGCTTGACAAGCGCCTCGGGAGCGCACTCGCCTAGGAGGCGGCCAGGTCTTCCAGCCCTGTTTTCTTAATCATCATACGGGCCTGACGAGAAACAGCCTGCAGGTAAGCATGGCCACTGTGTCCTGAGTAGAGTGAAAACGTGGCTCCCACTAGCTGTTTCGAGCCCGGTCTGTCGTGTTCCCGTTCCCGTGTGGGAGGGAGGGGCTCTTCTTCACACCAAAGCTTCGTCCGGTCCTGTGGATATTTACGCCTCATGTGCTATGCTCCCAGTCTCAGTGCTTCACTCAGTTGGAGCAGGAATTGAGTGAGATGTTGCTCGACAGAATCTAAATCTTGGAATCTTCAAATAGTGGTAGAAGAATGGAGAGACTGGAAAGCTCCTTGAAAAATTAGGGTCATTTATGTATCTCCCTGAGCACAGTCGTGTCAGTGGAGGTAACAAACAGTATGTGTACTACCTCCTCTTCTCACTTTTCAAGTCCTGTCTTTGTAGTATTGGAAGATACCATAGTTTTACTATTAGAAATCGAAACCTTTCCCTACGGTGCTCTCTAAGGTTAGCATTTGCCGAACGTGGAGTGTAAGTGTTGGCCTCCCCAACTCTCACTTTCTCCTTCCAGATCGGCTGCTATGCAGCCATGAAAAAGAAAATCTATGCCATGGGGGGAGGATCATATGGGAAACTCTTTGAATCTGTGGAGTGTTACGACCCAAGGACTCAGCAGTGGACCGCTATCTGTCCGCTGAAGGAGAGAAGGTATGAGAATGCAGTTGTGGACTCTGTAGGCACCCCCTTTCTTTCAGATGAACCTTTCCCTTGACGTAGCATTTGGTTTCTATAAAAATAAAAGAATAATCCATTTCCTAAAAAGAAAGACTCACATATTCATGAAACCCAGAACGTTGCAGAGTTAAAACAAGCAGAAAAGGGGTTCGGGGATCAGCCATGAGTTGTAAATCCAGTAGCTGATATGCTCTGTGTGACCTTTCAGATTTGGAGCTGTGGCCTGTGGCGTGGCCATGGAGCTGTACGTGTTTGGGGGAGTCCGGAGTCGTGAGGACATCCAGGGGAGTGAGATGGTCACTTGCAAGTCTGAATTCTACCATGACGAGTTTAAAAGGTAAGTTTGAACGGTTTCACATAACTTGTACAACTTTCCCTTTCTGCTTTCAAAGTCATGTCTTAGATTTGTTTAGTTTTGTTTTCAAGTTACTTGACTGAGTTACCTTGTCTATTTAGGACATATGCCTAATGCCAACTAGAGATTTCGTCAGAGACTTCAGAAGTATTCGTAGCTTAAAACCATAGAAAGGTGTTTCTGAAATCTATATCAGACCTTGACCCTTGGTTGTTTAAAATCATTCATTGGCTTCCTATGGCTCTTAGGAGAAAGTTTAAACTCCTTAGCCTAGCATATATGGCCTTCTGTGATACGGTCTTTCTCTATTCTTTCTGCTACTATTCAACACATATGCTTTACTGGAGTTACACTGAGCAACATTTCCCGCCCCCCAAAACATGTTATGGTTATCTTGGCTCTGTGCTTTTGTACTACTCCTTTTGCCTAAAATTTGCCTTCCAACATGTATCCAGTTAATATAGCCTTTTCCAAAACTGTGCCTAATTATCACTGCCTGGAGAAAACCTTCTCACACCTCTCAGTCTCGTTTAGGCTCCTCCATCTGTAATCCCAAACATTTAGTTCATGTCTTTTGCATTGTAATTGTTAACCATAAGATTTTCTTTTTTTTTTTTTTTTTTTAAGATTTTATTTATTTATTTGAGAGAGAGGCTGAGAGAGAGAGATCACAAGCAGGGGGGAGGGGTAGAGGGAGAAGCAGACTCCCCACTGAGCAGGGAGCCCAATGTGGGATGGGATCATGACCTAGCCAGAGGCAGACACTTAACCAGCTGAGCCATCTAGGCACCCTAACCATAAGATTCTTGAGGGCAAGGTTCGGCTCATCTGTCCATGGATCAGTGGATGATTGATTCAGTGGATGAAGTCTGGTGTCACAGAGTCTTAAAACATCTGACGGGTTGCCGTACTGGTCTTGTAGAGTAGACACCCTCCTACTGACCTCCTTTCCTTCTCTCCTTCCACACGTTTTATTGTGGTAACCACTAAACTGGACTATTCAAATCCTTAGAGGGAAACGGTCATGTGAAAATTCATCTTGTTACAGTATTTCAATCCGGTTACCAGGAGGGGGTGCCTTAAGGCAATGTTTAATTTCATACTATTTTAGATGAGGGCAAACAATGAGCAGCGACCAAGACTTTAGAGAAAAATGTGAATGTTACCTAACTTTTAATGTATTTTAAATTGAGGATATTTGCATAGCCTTTCTTCCCCCTGTCAATTACATGGGTAGGCCCTCTTTGGAAAATTTATTAGACAACATATGAGAGCAGTTTAGAAAATGTCTGCTATGGTGGGGGTGGGGCAGAATTTCAGACTTTTCTACATTTCTCTGGATCCATTACTGTGAGGGCTACTGTCCAAGGTATAAAATAGCATGTTAATTCCTGCCCAAATGAATCTCAAGACTGTCTGCTCAACTTCATGCATAAGCAGTGGTCAGGGTGTTCGGTCTCCGGTAGAATATTGACTTGTGCCATCCTCAGAGGGGCCGAGTTCCTGTTTGGGCAGTGTGAGCTAGAGGCTGCCGCTGGTTTGCTGGAGGAACCAGGGCCACTTGTGCTTCACCCTCCCCTGTCCCTGTTTGTTTCTAGGACTTAAATCTGGTGCAGAGTTTCTCGTCTGCCCCTAATATGCTATCAGTTGCTAGAACTTTTATATTTCTGTCAGGTTGTTTCATATTAATAGTTGATAAGCTTTAAATGTAAGGGTATTACTTGCTTTCAGTTCATAAGTATTAGGCATAAGAATATGGCTCCTTCCTTGCTATTAAAAAGAACTTCCAGATAAATTCATGGATCATTAGTCTCTTTGTTTTTGAGCTGTCCAAAGTTAGTTTTTATTTATTTATTTATTTTTATTTTATTTTATTTATTTATTTTTTAAGATTTTATTTATTATTTGACAGAGAGAATGAGAGAGAGAGAGCACATGAGAGGTGGGAGGGTCAGAGGGAGAAGCAGACTCCCTACCGAGCAGGGAGCCCGATGTGGGACTCGATCCCGGGACTCCAGGATCATGACCTGAGCCGAAGACAGTCGCTCAACCGACTGAGCCACCCAGGCGCCCCAAAGTTAGTTTTTAAAGTAAGCTCTGGGCCCAACGTGGGGCTCGAACTCACAAACCTGAGATCAAGAGTCTCATGTTCTACCAACTGAGCCAGCCAGGGGCCCACCAGTGTTAGTTTTTAAATAATAGAATGAGGAAAGGTTCATTTCTTCTGTCAGTATAATGTATAGGATTCTTGCTTGGGTGACACTAGACACATACATAACACTGTTAACTCATTTGTAACTCAGTCTTCAAAACAACCCTCTGAGTCCATGTGCTCTTTTTATTCCTCTCTTAAACCAAAACACAGAGAGGTGAAGTAATGTGCTCAGAGACACAGGTAGCAAGTGGCAGAGCTGGAATTTGAACTCAGGCACTCTGGCCCCAGAGGCCACCTTTTCAGCCACCACACTACGTTGCGTTAAAAATACAGGCTTTCCTGTAAATATCTATAGGAGGAAAATAACATATAGCCGAAGTTTATTTCTCAGGAGAGCAGATGTTTCCAAGTATGTTATATTTGCGTATTGTGGAAACTGTTGCCAGATGAGCAATCTGTATTAGATTGGAGACCATTTATTGTTTTTAAGTAATCTCTTGTCTTTCCTGTCTTTGTTCCCTATTTTTAGGTTAAAACTTTCCTGGAAAAATGCCATATCTTATTTTCTGTGTTTCTAATGAAAAACAAAACTGTTTGAAGGAACGCAAAGAAATTGCCATAAGTTCTATCACGTCATAGTGACAACTTGATAATACATACAGAATGACAGGCAGCTCTGTTTCTGTTCTGGTGTCCCTGCTCTTCTAATACCACCATCCTCCCAGTTATCCCTACTCAAAAAAGCTCATCTTTGATTCTCTCTCATGCTTCACGTCTCATCATTTGCCAAGTCTCGTCTTCTTTTTTAGACTCTGGAATATTTCCCATGTCACCCACCTTCATTTCTCTGCTCCTGCCCTCCCGTGTTCACTTTCTCGTGTGTGCAATGGCATTAGCCTTCTAACCAGTTTTCCTGGGCATTTGGCCTGTTTGTGGTTTTGAAAGATTAACCCGACTTTGGTCATTCCATTCTCCTCCTGGAAATTCTTGGTATTTCCCCTTTGCTTACCAAACAAAGATAATAGTATGTAGCCTCCTGCTGGGGTTCTCCATTGTCTGAGGTTAAGAGAAATGTTCAGTCTTTTCTAGTCTCTTCCTTCCCATGTCCTGCACTTTAGCTCCCTTCTTAACCCATCCTGTGTCTGACTGCCTCCATGCACGTGCTCAGCCCGGATGCCCCCCTTTTGTTTCTTTAGAATAGTCATCGTGACTGTTGAAGTCAAGATCTGTCAATTTCATCTTTTGATCTATAATTGAGCAGACACACTTGACAACAGGCAGAATCCCCATGTTTGTTCTCTGATCCACGGGGTGAGGCCATTATGGTAGGAAAGGCTGCATGGAAGTCTCTGTAACTTTCCTACCAAGACAGAAAACCAGAAGCAGTTCTACATCCTTGAGGAATTTACGGAAATTAGTGCCACCATCAAAAACTTGAAAATGCAAGAGTGGAGCTGCCTTTCATATCCCCACTTAATTCACTTAGAAGAAGTAGAAAAGTCAGATGGATTTTGGAAAATAACTGTATGCTTTCATAAACGTAATTCGGTGGTTACCCTGATGATCACAGATTTAGTCCCAGATGTGGTGCCTTTCTGCAAATGTATCTTTATGCAACACGGACTCTGGCCTTGGTGTGCGGCTATTAACCCAGCTCATGCTTTTTCTTCGTACCAATTTGCAGGGACCACCAGAAGCAGTTTGCTTTTGCCCGGCAGGGCCAACAGGACCCTGCACTGTCTGGCCTCAGCGCTGTGTCAGTTCTGCTGTCTCCATATGTCACTCCAGGGAGATCTTGATCACCTTGGTGTTCCATGAAAACATCCTCCTGGCCCACCCCATTGACATTATGTGTGTTTGGATCATTGGTTAGGAGGTAGCAGGTACTACAGATGCCTTTGTAAGACATGGGGCGCTGAACCATACTCCTGACCAAATCTGTTTCAGTCACGGTCCAGTCAAGAGAAACCACACCAGTAATCTGAACAGGGAAAATGTAATTCACATAGTTATTTGACTGGTGGAAGAGAGTTCTGATGAGTGCAGAAATAGCTACTGTCGGAAGTGTGGTTACTACTACCTTTGGGCTGAGGGAAGTATCCTAAGGAGGAAAAACTGGGGAGAGAACTCCCCACCCTGCAAGGTATGGTGTGGCCACTGCATGCAGGACACTGCCTGTTGGGTGGCAGACCTTGCTGAGGGCAGGCACCTCTGGGTCTCCTGCACACTGCAGGCCGCAGCCCATGGGAGGAGGGAGAAAGGCACACCAACCCCAGGAAGGAAGCCCTTTGCACTATCCAGCCTTGCGTTCCCTCCGGCGCCCTCTACTGGCCAAGCCTACCACTGCATTTATTTTTTTCAAGGCTGGTTCATTTTCTCCACTGTTTCGCGTTTCATTGGTTTCTGCTCTTGTCTATATTATTTCCTTCTTTTTACCTTCTTTGGGTTTATTCTGCTCTTTTTTTCCCAGCTTCTTCAGGTAGAATTTTAGATTTTTTCATTTCTTTACTGAAATCTCCATCTTTTCATCACAAGCATGTTCTCTTTTGAACATAGTTCCAGTAGCCACATTCAGGTCCCCGCCTTATAGATAATCCCAGCATTCGGTCGTTTTGGAGTTGGCATCTCTGCATGGTTCTGAGAATGGGTTCTCATTTTTCTGGCTTTTTCTTTTGTTGAGTAATTCTGGGTTGCATCCCAAACATCGTGACTGTCACGTTGTCGGGGCCCTGAAGTCTCTTCCCGTGCTTCAGAGTGTTGCACTGAGAGTTCTGGCAGGCCGTGTACCTGGTTCGACTCCTGGCAGGCTGTCAACGCCTGCAGTGCACGGCAGCTCAAACCTCCCTATGGTTCTGTAAGCCAGCCTCAGTTACGAGCACTCGTGGTTCCGGGGTCAGTCGAAGACTTGAGACGAGTGCACGCACATAAAATTAGGCCTCCTTCTCTACCTCTCGTCTTTCTGAGACTTCCATACACCCTGGAGATTCTGGTTGGCTCAAGACACTCTGCCCTGTTTCCAGTGGCCGCGAAGACGGCAGGTCTTCTCTAGGGGTCTCAGCCACCTGGAGCTGGGGTGTCACGCTGCCTTCGGCCAAAGCTATCAAAGATCCACAAACTCCCTCCATGTGGGTTGCTTGTTCAACTTTCCCTTTCTTTCTCAAATCTGCCTGCTTTTGCTCAGTCTCCAGAGCCCTCGGGCAATTGTCTTTTGTATCTCGTCCAGAGTTTGTAGCTGTTTATCACAGGAGGATTGGCTTGTTAAGGGCTTCTTTCTCCCCCCTGGAAGCAGAAACCTCACTAAAGCTCCCTCTGTCTTTCCTCTCCTCTCCAGTTGATTGCTGCCCACCCCCCCATCTCTCCTGGCCTGTCTTTCCTTCCTACTCTGCTCTTGCTGAACTTCACTGCTACAAGCCAGGCTATATTCTAAAGTCTCCTTTGCAAGGGACATTGCTAATTCTAAGTTACCAGAAGACACATCCCTGTACCCTCAAGTCCTGATAAGCCCGTGTTTGAAAACACTGTAACTAAAGGCATACTATTGCTTCTTCTGTTACAAACAGGATTGCTACTTAGTGATGCCCGCCAGGTACAGGGCGCTATGTGAAGTATTTTATGCTGGCCACTTCATTTCATCCCTGCAAGTCATTGGATGTTAGTGGTTGTGTTTGGTCTCCCCACTTTACAGATGACGGTTAGCTAAATTGTCCAAGGTCAACAAGGTGATAGATGGCAGACAAAGAAGGCAAAACAATATGCCTTTTATACCTGTTTTAAAAGCAGCAGCTAAATACAATTCAGTTTTTATGTTTCATTTCCTTTGAAGCCTCAGCGTTATATGAAATAGATCACCTAGGATTATTTTTCTGAAACCCAGGAACTCTTGAGTCATTGATCTGCTTTGGACCAAATTTGGTAGATCATCTACATAGCCCGATTTCTTGAGCTTTGTTTAATTATTCCAGGGAGGAATAATAGGAGATTCTCAACTCTACAAAATTATGCCAAAATATTGTATTCTGATAGGCTTTTCAGTAAACAGTCTAGTCATAGATGCTCATTTAGAAGTGGCAGTTACCCTCATGAGCATACACATGGCCCCGTTATGGATTTGCCCAGAAGAGTTGTGTGCCTCTCCACTGGGGTTGGGCCTGGCTGTAGGGTTCAGCAGCAAATGAGACCTGGGGATGCTCATCGGCTTCGTTTGATTCAGAACCTGGGAAGAATTTAAATGTCAAGGTTTACATATTTAGGTTTAGCCCTGAACACATAAAATGTGAATAAGCCAGTTATTGTAGTTGGACGTTTTCAAAGATTTTCTTTCAAGGCCCGTTCAGGTCCCTATTTTTACTTTTCAGTGAGAGCTCTTGAATGTTTTCTTCCCCTATTTCTTAGAGACATTTTGACACCAAGAGCCAAACTATTCCCAGTTGCAGCAAACTGCTGGATACCGGTCAGCATTCAGGTGGAAGAGGAATCAAATGTTGAGTGCAGGTATTTGACTATGGCAGCCGTCCATTAGCCTTGCCTCTGAGTCGTTATGTGATCTTGGACAGGTCATTTTGCTTAGAATTCAAAATATGGAAGCTGCTGCTTTCCAACAATCTGGGAAGAGTTCTTTGAAATAAAAGTGCTGTTCTTAGTCATAGAGTTCCACATTTGTATTTAACATCCGGATGCACTAGATCTAAGCCGCTGGCTTCTTGGGCACTTCATGACAGAGTTAGAGACAAAGGAATAACGTCCACACGCTGTCTGTTCCACTAAGGAGTGTAGGCCTGGACGTTGGTAGTTCTGAAGGGTTTAGATCCATTCCCAAAGTCTGACTGAGGGCTGCTATACCCCAGCTGCGTCGTTAGCTACTGACAGGAAATTGTTTGGTCCAATTACCTTAAGTAAACGTTCTTATATAGCAGAATCTACAGTTGTTGTGGTGGTTGTTTTTTAAACAAAAACCACTTCAATTTTGAAATAATTTTACGCTTAAAGTTGTAAAAATAAAGTCCCCGTTAAGCCATTCACCCAGCTTTTCTTCATGTTAACATCTTACGTAACCATTATACAGCTATCAAAACCAAGGTATTTTTGTTGGTACAGTATTATTAAGTAAACTACAGTCTTTATTCGAATTTTACCAGCTTGTCCAATAATCTCTCCTTTCCCTTTGCTCTGGGATGCCATGCGGGATCCAACCACACACTGAGTTGTGTTTCTTTAGTCTTTTTTAACCTGTGATGGTTCCTTGGTCTTTCGCTGCCTTTCATGATCGTGATATTCCTGAAGATGACTGGTCCATGTTTTTATAGGGTATCTCTTCATTTGGCTTTGTCTGATGATTTCTCATGATAGGCTGAGGTTAAGCATTTTTGGCAGGAACACCATGGAGGTGATGCCCCCCTTCCAGGAGGATGTGCTGTCTCCATGTCTTATTATTGGTGATGCTAACCTTGATTACCTGGTTAAGGTGGGGTCTGTTGGGTTTTTCCACTGTAAAGTTGCTGTTCTTTCCTTTTAATTAACAAATATCTTGGAAGAGATGATTGAGAATATGCAAATACACCATTTCTTCTCAAACTTTCACCACTGATTATGCTTCCATCAGTGGACCCGCCTGCAGTCACTAGAACTGTGGTGGTCTCCTAATGCTGATCTTTCTCTTTCCCTCGTTCTGTCTACATTTGTTAACTGGAACTCTGTAAAGAGAAGACCCGTCCCTTCTCCCCCTCTTTTTTTTTTTTTTTTTTTAACATATTCCGTTACTTATTTGTATCAGTATGGACTCACGGATATTTATTTTACTCTCTGAGTTAGAAATCCAGTACTATCATTATTTATTTTGCTGCTCACTTGTTCCAGCTTCGGCCATTGGGAACACCTTCCTATTAGAACCATGTCCTGTGGACACACCCCACCCTTCTTTAAGCACTTCCTATGTGGCAGCACAAAAGCTCCAGACTTGTCTTGTATTTTCTCTCTCAGCTGGGGAATTGGCCACCTCTTTGTGGAGCCCTGGATCCCTTTTGTGGTTATTAAATTGATTTTCAACAGAAGTGCCAAGGCAATTTAGTGAGGAAAGAAACATCTTTTCAGCAAATGATGCTGGAGCAACTAGATATCTGTATGGAAGAAAAATGAACTTCTACCTCATACTGTACCCAAAATTCAACTTGAAAATATACTGTAAGACCTGAATGTAAAAGCCGAAACTATGAAATCTCCAGAAAAGAGCATAGGGAGGAAAACCTTTGCAACCTTGGAATAGGCAGGGATTTCCTAGAAGGACACAGAAAGCATGAACTATTTAAAAAACAAAACAAAACAAAACAAAACTGGAATTCGTCAAAATTAAGAACTGTTCTTCAGAAGGCTCCATTAAGAAAATGAAAAGATAATCGACAAGCTGGGGAAAATATTCATGATATATGTATCTAACAAAGGACTTGTATCCCCAGAATACAAAGAATCTTACAATTCAGTAGGAAGACAAAAAACCCAATTTAAAAAATGAGCAACTCTTTGAGCAGATGTTTCACAAAAGAAGATGGGTAAAATGGTCAGTGAGCGCACACGGAGATAGCCAGCATGCTTCTTCTCAGGGAAGCGCCCACCACTAACACGGCTACACTCAGAAAGACCGACAGTAGTGAGGGCAGGTGGTAATGCCTAGCCGTTGGAATTCCCCGATGTTGCTAATTGGAATGCAGAATGGCACAACACTTTGGAAAACAGTGTGGCATTTTCTTACTGAGTGGAATGTATCTTAAACCATATAGCCAGTCAATTCTGTGACATAATATCCACAAAGAAGATTTGCACTCCAATGTCCACAACGGCTTTATTCACCATAGCCACACACTGGCAATTACCCGGATGAATGTGAGCAGGTGAATGGATAAACCAATTCTGGTCTCTCCATACAATGGAATACCACTTAAAAAGAAATGAATTATTGATGCAAGCAACAGTGTAGATGAATCTCAGGAACACTGTGCTGAGCAAAAGAAGCAGATTGAAAAGTGCATGCTCTTTACGTTTCAATGTAGGTGACATTCTAGAGCAGGCAAAACTAGTATCCGTAGTGACAGGAAGGAACTCAGCAGTAACCCGGCAATGGGGATGCGGGGTGAGCTGAACTGGCGCAGTGCCTGGCACTGTGGCTCACCGAGTCGTGCTGTCTCCCTAGACCTCGTCGACCTCTTGACTTCCTTGGTTTTGCCCATGTGTTCACTTTCAGGTGGATCTATCTTAACGACCAGAACTTATGCATCCCTGCCAGTTCCTCTTTTGTTTATGGAGCTGTACCCATAGGAGCCAGTATTTACGTTATCGGAGATCTTGATACAGGTAAGACCGTTGTGGTGCTTCTGCTGGATCTGTTTCCTGGTGACTCCAAGGCACGTTGTATCATCTGTGCTGCTTCTCGCGGTCTAGGTACCAATTACGACTACGTGCGTGAGTTTAAAAGAAGCACAGGAACCTGGCACCACACGAAACCGCTTCTTCCGTCTGACCTTCGCCGCACCGGCTGTGCAGCCTTACGCATTGCAAACTGCAAGCTCTTCCGCCTGCAGCTCCAGCAGGGCTTATTCCGTATCCGTGTTCATTCACCTTGAGGAGGAGGCAGAGCAGAAGCAGAGCTCCTGACCAAGCGCACCATAACACGGCTTTCTGCGAGGGGAACAGAGGTGGCAGCCGAAACTTGCTGTGTGCCCGGCTTTGTATGGTAACTCTGGTGGTCTTACTGTAATGCTTAGAAGCCTGAGCTTCCGCTCTCGTTTGGGAGAACCCGTACCTGTTGAAAGGGAGGAATCCGTTCCTCCAGGGAGATGTGTCTGCAGACAGACGGAGGCTAGTCCATGTCAAAGGGGGAAGGGAAGTGGGAATCGGTATCATGTAAAATATTGAAGTTAAAATCCTAAGGTGCATCTTCCTTGAAGGGAACGCATGTCTGAGTGACTGCTGTGTTCAAGTACCTGACTTCGGTCAACAAACAAAAATCCGTATATGCAAATCCACATATCCAGACATACCAAGATTGCTTTTCTGCTGTACTTGGAAGGAAATATCATGCCCAACCCTGTCCGACAAATAAGGTTTGTGCCTAAAATGTTAGATTGGACTGTATGCCAGTTAGTGTCCACTTGCTACTAGTACTGTGTCCGAAGAATCTTTTTTAAACTGTATTATCATGAATTGAAACTAAGATAAAATTTCTCTTTTATGACATTCTATCTTAGTCATCTAAAGGTTCAATAAATCCATGAGTCAGGTTGCAGCCCTCGTGTGAATTGAAGGGAAGTTGCTAACTTCTGTGTTAATTCATATACATCATGCCATGATTTCTGGGGTTGTGAAGGCTCTCATACAGTGCCATTCCTCCTTGCAAATAATCAGAACCATTTTATAAACACGAGGTTATGAAGCGGAGTAGATTTTCTAGAAGAAAGACCTACGTCAGACAAATCATAAAGGTCTGCCATGGCTACAAAAACTGTCCAGACAAAATATTATATAGGGATCAAAAATACCCTTCTGTCCGAAAGCACACAAAGTCTTGTTTACTACTGTTAAGGATTGAAAACTTGTCTTAGAATGTGCACCTGCATTAAGTATCTAGTCTTTGTAGCAGAATTTTCTCAATGCCGTTCTCTAGCAAGAGTTTTAGACAAATTAAGTTATAAGTAAAGTTTGGCTGGTAGAATAAACTACCTCAACTTAATTTCATTCTGTTCATAGAAGAGCAAATTCATCTCTTCTCCACCCTCCGCCCCTCTCCCACACTCCCATGTCACCCCATGCTACCCCACTTCCTGTTGGGGGTAAAAGTCTGTCATTAGTAGCACTTATCGTGTAAGATACTTTGTTTTCCATTCAAATTATGCCACCTTAGTGTGCAATCAGGGACTTCACAGTGCTTGATGATGTCATAATTTGAATTTTATGCAATATCAGATTTCTAATCAATTTAATACAGAGCTCTTCATTTCTAATTGTTTTCTACAGCTTTTTTTTTCCCCCTCTTGGTAAATGGCTGTAAGAAGCAGTATTTTGTCTTAATGATTAATAAATGTATAAATGTATCCTTTGGTTATAAATTTGAGAATAGGAGTTTCTTGTGGAAACTTCCTAGATGGAATGCTTTATGCTATTAACAACATGCATATGAAACATCACTTACGTTTCCCCACCCATGAACAGAAGAAAGGATAACCCCCATCTGCAGTTTTTATTCCTACACCTATTAGGAGTCAGTGCAATGCTATAAAAGCTGCTGGGAGAAGCCTTGCCTGTGGGGGTTCTAAAGAACATTGTGTGTGGCAGAAGTTCCTGGTAAAAGAAGGCAGGCGGTGTTTATCTTCTGTATCAGAGGCACTGGGCCAGATTTGCCAGACATTCATATATAAAGCAAAGCTGACCTTTTTTCCTGTGTATTGTGTACCAGTCAGCTGTAGTCTGCAGACCTTCCCAGTGATTCCTGGGATATCTTTTTATCAAAGCAAGCCACGTGGCCACCGCAAAGAAAGCAAACTTCTTTTTCCAATTAGATAATACATTTTTTAGGGGAAACAAATTGCTGAAAAAGTGAATTTTCTTTGGTATCATACCCTGTACCGAACAGAACCTTGGCCTTCAGAAGTTGCAGCTGAGGTGCATTAAAGCAGTGACTGATGTCCGATGAAAGCCATGACAGTCAGCAACTCTCTCTCTTTCATTTCTGAAGTTTAAAATTCTTCCCAGTCTACGCCAGGCCTCTCCAAGGAGACAATTCATTGTTTAGGAGTGAATGGGTCCCTATTGCAATATTTTCAGTGCCTGCATGACTTGGTAAATTCATTTTATAAAAACAGTTATTCTTTTTTAGTTTTTTATTCAGTTCATTGACACGGTAGCTGCAGAAATTAGGTAATATTTTTTAAAATAAATTTGCCACATAATATGGGATGCTATAACCAACAGGATTAAGCTAAGTGCCAAGCTGTTATTTTCATATATATAGTATATATATTAAAATATGATGTCGAAGTGTAGGAATATATTTAATTTTATTATGTTCCAAAATTAATTTTTTTTGTAAATGACACTTCAGTATTGTGAAGTAAATTTTAACTCATTTCATGCAGGTTTGTTTTAACATTCCGCTTATGCTTGAAACATTTTTTTTGATAAATTTTTAATACTTCTTTTTCATAAGGCACTTTTACCAGGCGTAGGTTGGAATTGGCAGTTGAGGGTAGATCTTAAAATTTTAAATAAAATACCTTTGGGGGACGTGCAATGTATTTTCATTATCCCACCAACAGAAGGAAAGTTGTCTCAGGTTAGTCAGTGAATATTTAAAGGATCTCTCCTAGGCTACAGTCTAAAGTAGGCCTGTTTGTTTGTTTAATACATCCAAATATAGAGTTTTCGAAGAGGTAAGTGTTTAATTTAAAATGAAGTGTTTTTTGTGAGTGTGGGAGGGTGCTTGTATCCTGCCGGAGGGAAGAGTGTGAGAGAGGGAGAGAATGTGTGTGTGTTACGTGACTTGATGAGTGTGTTTATATATGTTTACTTTTTCAATTGTAGTTCGAGACTACATATATTATTACTGTTTCCTGGTGCTTCCGATAAATTCTTGAGCCTGTGGCCCTTCAGTTTATACTATTGTGTTAAACTCATGTTGGGTGTAAATATTCACAGAGTTGTAGTTGGTAGTAAGTTTTACTTGGTGTTTGCATTTCTTTAGTGGGATTAAGAACAGTGTCTGCCAACTAGTGTAGCCGGTAGACTATAAAGATTTGGCCTAAGAAATTTTTAAATTCATTGTTTATTTCATCAGTTCTTTATTTTCATTGCTGTGAGGAATCGATAGCTAACAGTAGGCCTTCCTCAAACTGCGACAACCAAAAACAAGTCTTTGGACGATGATGGTTGGTATCCTCTCTGTGCTGAAGTGTCTGGTTATGTCGCCACTTCAACGATGCTTTGACGGTGCCCATTTACAGGACGCACATCCGTACATTGACCTGGTAGCGATAGGGCTGTGTTTGCCCTGACGCCTCATTCCTCATGGTAGTAAGTTAGGTTTTCAGAGAAATTCTTTAGCTGCCTTGGTCCATTGGGGTTCCATCTGGTGCATTCCTACTTCATTGTACCAAACCAAAAAGATTTCCAAGGAGTGCTAAAAATACTGCAGGATTACCTTCTTGCTGGCCTGCTTGATTCCAGAGGGGCCTCTTGTGGTCAGATGAGGACAATCGATTATCTGGGGAAAGAATGAGGTGGCGCTTGGCATGGATTTAAAAGGCACTGGAACCCCCTTAAAAAGCACCTGGTTTGGGGCGGGGGGAAGGTAAGACTGCCTTGTTCTGTGGCTGCCCCTCATGTCCGTGAGCCTTTGTGGAGCCAGGGAGAGAGGAGACTCTGATTAGTGCAGAAAAGCTGCCCAGGGCTTAATCAGCAAATGTTTCTAGAGCACCCACCAAGAATTCTGTTCGGATTTCTGGGGAGCTTTCATGCTGCCCTCCCTCTAGATCATAAACTTCTTGTGGGCAGGCAGCGACCCTGTCTTTGCCCATCTGCCTATCCCAGTGCTTGGCACACAGCAGGTAGTCAGTAAGTGGTTGGCCACGGCATACAGTACCCTTGTAATCAAAGCGATGTTCGTCACAGGATGGAGAAGTCCTCTCCATGAGCAACTTATTTTGCTGGATTTTAAATGAGAAACTTTATGCACAGATGGGCTGGCCTCATAGAGTGAGAAACTAGTACAGAATAAAAAATGCAAAGTGCCTGACATATGGACACAGACCTCTGTGGTGTCCGTATGTTCTATAGGATTTGGGGCACCCGATCCTCAGCACACCTAATGCCGTTTATCACATTTATTGTTGGGCTTTATTTATTGTTTTTTATGTGTGGCTCCTAGCCTTTTCCAGAACATACTGCTTTGATCCTCACGTCTCTGTGATGGGTGCAGTGCATGCCCCCCTCCCGGCCCTTGGACAGAAAGCAGTCTCTGAGGCGCAGTAGATGGGGCCTCGTTCCCCACCCCACATGTGAGTAGAAACCAGAAGCAGAATCCAGATCTTTGTATTATCATTTCACTGTTCAGCCTTTGAGACTCCCACTTAATTTTCTAGGCACACAAGTATTTTTAGTCATAAAATAATCATTTGTGGTACAACTTAAGCCCCCACACATGTCCTTCACAAGTTACACAGATGTAAGCTGAAAGATCTTTGGTTCCCTTTGTCAGTTAGCTAGAGGAAATTTAAGGATTTATTAAGGTCGTAAGAACAGAAGTACTGTTTGTGTTTGACAGAAAAGCACTTTTTCCTTTTAAAGACCTGAAGCGTCATTTTTACTGTTTTTCTTACCCCGTCTAATCAGTAAGGGAGAAGAAATTGTGTCTTAGAATGATGGAGAAAGTCTTCTGCTAGTTTCTAATAACCCCTGAAGTACTCTTTCTAGCCGGTTCAGAATATAGAAATGTATCAAGGTGAGGGATGGCCCACTTGCCCATGCGGGAGAAGCACATGGGATCAGGTTGAGGTTTCGCTGCCTGCTGGGGGTAAAGTCCGTAGTATGGAAACAGAGACTTCTGCTATTTTTTTGGCAAGCCAACTGGTAAAACTTGTAAAATTTTTGTATTTTTCAGAAGGGATTCTATTTTTAATGTTAAATATATCTCAGCTTTGTCTCATGGCAGTCCTTGTGTTTACATGACATCTGAGGAGCTCACTTAATGCCTCTGTGTTCTTTGGTCTAAGTGCTCACGGTTGGGGAAGGTTTGTTCGCTTTCTGTTCTGTCACTGATGTTCTCTAAGTGATTGGGTCTTTAAACTTCTCCCCTTCCTCATCACATATCTGACAAATATAAACAGCCTTCCATAATTACCTAGGGGGAAGTACCTGTCGCCTTTTCTTTTCTTTTTTTTCTTTTTTCTTTTTTTTTTTTTGAGATAAAAACTAATACTTTAAAATTGCTGCTCAGCCGGAATGTAGGCTGATTCTAGTTTTTGGTATTGATGTCCTCGTGGCCCAACAAAGCTGCTGTCAATTCTTCAGTCACTGTGATGCGCGTTAGAGAAGTTACAAGCCGGAGGAGGAAGGCAGCCCACACAGCCTGGGTACTTTCAGATCAGGCCATTCATGTGACCCGTATTAATACGTGGCCACTTCCGATAATTCGGACCCCAAGCAGATGCAGGTTCAACTTTCTTTCTGGTCGGCAAATTATATTTATTAGACCTTTATTTTTAGCATTTCCATAAAAATCATAGGTTTTAAAATACCTTATTTTTATGGATCCTACTCATCAATTACAAATAAGGCATACATTAGAACCTTGGGTTACATTTTTTCCAGTTAAACCTGTGAACTTGGAATAAATATGACTATACGTAGCTCTCTTTATCATGTTTCCTGTTTAATTGGATGAGAATTACATGCACTTATTCCCTTGTTCTTTGTGTTTATAGGAAAAACTCTGTTCTCGGCTACCTCATTATGTAGTGTTGTGCTTGATCCCCTGCCAATTTAGGAGAATTCAACACATTCTGTCCTTTAACAAAAGCCTGGAAGCAAGCAGCAGGCAGCCTTGAGGAATACAATTCTCTTAAGGCATATTTTCCATTTTACTACTTTTTTCTCTTGAATAGGCACTTTTAATCAGGAGGAACAATCATTCTCCTAGAGCTGCTGCAAAGTGATTACTTGAAACTCAACTTGAACTTTAAAGAGTCTTTAAAAGACCGTGTTTTCATAGCGTAGAAAAGTAGTATATTTAAACAGCACTGCTGTGTAAAACAGAGGGCTTACTCCCCATCCTGTTAGGATCAGACAGGAGAAGGTGTCTATGTGGACTCTCACCCGGCGTGTGCAGTTTAGATGCTTGGGGCTACTGTGTTTTGTTGTCTACAAGGTGTTACTGTGAGCAGTTTAGGGAGCTAATAAGTGTGTTTTCGTGAATTTGTTTCCCAAGAATCTTTACTTTTGATGAAAATAGAGGTTCATTAGTAGATTCCTCTTCTCTTTTGGTTCTGACAGTCTAGGGTTTTAAAATGAAATCTGAAAGTATTTCCTAAGTACAGGGTTCAGGTTGACCAAGCAACATAGATGTGCATCATACTTAAAATCATGAGTGATTGGATTTGTTCTGAGCATCAGCGGAACGTGCCTTCTCCACGTGGCTCCGTCCTCGCCAGCATCTGTCAGCTTCCCTGGTCACTAAGGTAGGGGGAGCCGTGAGGCCCACCGATTCCTGCAGTCAGAGTGGTTTCTCACGGGAATTACCCAGCATCCCCAGTGCCCAAAAGAGTTATGCCCATTCTCAAAAACCTAGCGTACTGGGAATAATCTACGGACCAGGTAAAACCTAGCAACGGAACTGTCACTGTGCTCTGACGTGATCTAGTTTTCCAACCTGTACTTTTTAGAGTGAGAGGCAGAGTTTCTGCCCACATGACAGTACCACGTGGGGCTGGCAGCAGGCATGAGACATTTCCCTAAGTGGTTTCCAAGAGAACCGAGACGTACTGCCCTAGAGCCCCAACCTTGCTGTTTATTTTGAGGAAAGCATGTGTAAACACTTTGTGTACTTTCCCAAGCAAACCTGGTTGCTACGAGCATGCGCAGGCCGTGGTGCCAGGTGCAGGTGGCTTCAGAGACTGGCACCGCAGACTGTGACCTTTGGGAGCCCTGAAGCCCCGAAGCCCAGTTCCTTACCTGCAGACGCAGGCTAGACAGGGGTGTTTACCTCTTTGGGCTGCTGTGAAGATCAGGGGTGTAATGAAGGTGAGAACCCAGCACCCCTGTGCTTGAGCCATCACCGCGGCCACAGTGTTCGCTCAGCTCAGCTTCGGGTCACTGATTGTGAGCCCCGGGGGTGGGGGGACGGCAGTGTCCTCACTGCGTGTCCTGGCCTTCGTGCTTCCCCATTGGAATGTCTGCTGCCAGGGTCTGTAAGGAAATGGATGTTTGTGTTGATAAAATGATTTGCCCTAATATTTGAATTCAGGATGATTCTGTAGAGCTGAACCATCCCCTAATACCTGCTTGGAGTGTTTAGAGTTGTTTTAAATAACCCTGAATTCAGAATTTGCATAACGAAGCCCTCTAATGATACTTAAAACTCTTTACCAAAGTTGAATCTTTTTCCCCTAAGATGTCACAAGTAGCAACCTATACTGGTCTAATAAACGAAGATATTTTAGATCTCTGAGATCGGTATACCTGTTCTCTCTTAACTTGGATGCTTTGTGAAACTTAAGCAAACAAACAAACAAAATTTGTGTTACAAGTATGTGTGTATGTGTACAACTTTTGCACCTTCAAATAAACTAGGGTTATTTAAGAAAATGTTACCTAAAGTGAGCTTCTGAACCCTTCCATACTGTCACTTCCTCTCCAGTTCCCGCCCTGGGACCAGCAGATGGGGCGGCATGAAAGGCATTCTGTAAAGTCATGCTCTCTATCTCTGTGAATAAGAAAAGAAAGGAGAAACGGGGTTGACAGGGCTGAGAAGTGGACGAACAGCCGTGCCAGACAGCGCTGCCCAGGACGGCTGCAGGTGCCGTGGTGTGGCCATTTGTAAGGCTTTTCTTAGTGGCATGTATAAAAATCTAGAAGGCCGAGAAAAGTGCTGGGAGGGATTAAGTGATGGTTGTGAGGGTCCACAGCACTGTGACAATCTGATAAACGGCTAAATAGAGAGTCTTGTATCCAGGTTCAGAAAAGATAGTTCCTAAATGAAAAAGAAAGAAAGAGGGGTGGGGCGGGGAATCACTGATAATTTGAACATAAGCCAACTGTTGAAAAACAAGAATACGGGCACCTGGCTGGCTCAGTTGGCAGAGCATGTGGCTCTTGACGTCAGGGTCGTGAGGTCAAGCCCCATGTTGGGCATAGAACATACTTCTAAAAATAAAAGAAAGAAAAAAAAAGAATAGTGTTTGGGTGTGGGACTGGTAGCCAGAAAAGGAAGTCTCTTCTGCCACTTCGTCCTCCGACTGCACCGATGGGCCCCAGACCCACAGCATTTAGCTGCCAGTTCCAGTGCCACCATTGGAGAGTCCTGAGGCTCTGGCCTGTGGGGATGTCTTTAGAACCAGCAGGTGTGTGTGGCTCAGGCCAACAGCAGACATTGAGACAGAGTGGCCTCAGAGTAAGATGGGGACTCTCTGTGGCCCTGAGCGCTTCTCTGAACATGTTCCATAGGAGAGTACTTGCCGCATGACCGCATCAGTGAGAGAGTTCTTGCTTTGTGGCAGGATACTGGTCACCATCTCCAAAGCTCCTTGCAGATGAACAGTTTAGTTAAAAAAAGAGGGGGGGGGGGGAGTTTGTACTTCTACACCGATTTTGAGGAGAACAGTCTTTGTTCCTTTCAACCTGTGCTCCCTCCTCCTTTCCTCCCTGCCCACCTCCTGTCCATGGCCTCCTGACTGTGGCCTCCGGCTAACAGCCACGGCCTTCTTCAGCAGAACTTTCAGAAATAGGCACAGTTCTAGAGATTTCCCTAAAACTATATTGTCAACTAGAACAGCGATTCTTGCTTTTTATCTACTTTTTGCTTGAAATCTGTTGGTACCTCTGCAGATGTAAGAAAGCTGATAAGTAAAAATTGCATTCTTTCAAGCAGGACCTAGATGACTGAGGCCAGGGATGCTCTCGAGAGGGCTTGTGTGCTAGGCGGATTGGGCTAGCCGATTTCCTCGGGCCCCTTCTAGCTCGATGGAGTCTTGCCCTTTGAGAAGAGTTTCCAAGGGATCTGATTCCTCTTATGGTTTTGCTTTCCCTCTTCTATGGAGGCACAAGGCAGTCTTAGTCCTGGAGGGGAGGGAGGCCACCCCTGACTTCTCGTGTCTCTTCTGGCCCCACTGGCCTTGGCAAAGATCTGCCCCAAAACAGAGGAACCAAGCATCAGCCGGGGCATGCACCCAAGTCCTCGGGAAGGAGTGGTCTGTGCTCTCCCATTTCTTGGGTGCATTTTTCTCCCGATTTCTCGAGTCGTCTTGGCTTACAATAAGCTCTGTTTGAACCAGTGTTGGCTTTCCTCCTCATGTCCCGCCGCGGCTGCCCAAAGACCCCGCCGGTGGAGTCTCCAGGAAGTGGGCTCCCCCTCAGTTGGCACGTCCCTCTGCACCAGTTGAGGGACTTCAGTCAGGGTAGAAGAGGTTATTTCAGTCTCGTTTCCAAGGGTCCTCTTACTTACACCCTCTGCTTGGCCTTCCCGCCCTACCCTCTGCTCCTCATCCCACACCTGTCCCAGCCGGGCTTTTAACGGCTTATAAAGTACGTATCCCAAAAAGGGGAAAAAAAGAAAAAAAACAAAAAACCTCTTCTTGTCCCCCAGACCATTAGCCTAAAATTATTTATTGAAAAGGCATTCTTCTGGGAGCCCCTGAGCCAGCCTTTGTGACTCGCACTTTGCACAGCCAGCTGGCCCTGGCTGAAGAGAGCCAGACCTGTGCCCCGGGGCCCCGGGAGCCTCCAGAGTCCACGCCGCCCTGCTCCTCCTGAGGCATGGCCCGCTGCAGAGCGGAGCTCCTGGGGCCCGGCACGGCCGCCTCCCCCACAGGCCCCCTGAGCCACGCATACTACCTCAGCACCCAGCCGCAGGCACTGCATGGGCCCCGCATGGCCTGGCGAGGCCTGCTGGGGGGGCGGGGGGCTTGCCTGCACCCCGCCGCCCGCACACCCGCCGCACGGCTCGTCCCCAGGCTCATTAGAGTGCAGCAAGACCGCGGGCTCCTTTTCTCTTCGTTAGCTCGGACTTAAAAACACGCCGCTCAAATTGTGAGTAGAATCGGAAATTAGACTTGCTCATTTACACAATCAGAGAGAGACCATCTTTTCATACTTTTGTTCAAAAGGGATTTTTTTGCTTCAGAAGAAACTCCAGAAAAGACGTGTATTACTATTAATCTAGCATGTGCTTCCTGAGTTTGACTCTTAATGCTTTGTAAAAAATTATGCAGGATCTGGTACATGGGGCAAAAGGGAGTCATGAGCTTAAAAGCAAACCAATTTACGTGGGTTCACAACATCTTTTTCCCTCTGTGGGACCTCAGAATTCAGGTTCTCCATAAAAACAGCCAAATTCTGGGCGCCTGGGTGGCTCAGTTGGTTAAGCGACTGCCTTCGGCTCAGGTCATGATCCTGGAGTCCCAGGATGGAGTCCCGCATCGGGCTCCCCGCTCAGCAGGGGTTCTGCTTCTCCCTCTGACCCTCTTCCCTCTCGTGCTGTCTCTCATTCTCTCTCTCAAATAAATAAATAAATAAAATCTAAAAAAAAAAAAAACAGCCAAATTCCACATGGCAGATAATTTTATGGTGGGAGATGTATCAAGCGGCCTTTAGTGGAGAAAAGCACAGACTATTTAGCAACACTTGCTTAATTAAACCATCAGTGGCTTTTTCTGCTGATGGGATTCTTTTCCTTTTGACTCATTTGTCACATAGCTTTTGTTTGGTTCCTCACTCCTGCACCCCTCCCTGTTGCCAGGGACACAGCGATACCTGTTTTGCTTTGAATCTTACCATTTGTGAATTCTGACAACCGAACAGCAGGAATCATGGCCTTGGCAGAAATGTCGAGAGCTCACGGCAGCCTACCGTGCGGGAGTGTGCCTCCGCAGAACTGGGGTGGTCTGCGCCTTTAACGGAAGCCGCTCCCCGGTCCAACCCTGTCCGTTCCCATCCTCCTTAGAAACCATACTAAAGAAGCACGTTAGGCAGGCTCGGGCAGACTTCATGTTATCAGTGTATGTCCCCGGTAACGGAAATGCTTGTATCTCTGTGAATGAGATCCATCCATAACTCGTGATGCACCTGTAGATTCATTTGGTTTGTATCACTAATGCAGATCTCCTGCTAGAAGAAAACGATCAAAGGAATTCATTAAAATTCCTTAAAACGGCCAGCGATGCCCCTGTTGGCCCGTGGGCTATGTGGTACCAGGTATAAATGCATGACATTGTCAAGAACTGGTTTTTAGCATGCTCTTGATTTGCCATTTTGATGATTTTCGTGCCATAAGGAAGACACCATATCAGAATTCATCTGGTTAAACAGCAGTCTTTGTTTAATTAACATATTTATGTTTTCTGACATGGCACATACAGAATCGTTTTAGTTTAAACCCTGCAGCTTTTATTATCTGTTAAGGTTCCAAGTGGAGCAGTCTGCTCAGATGTGTGTACAGTTGAGGTTGTATTGTGTGTGCTAGGTATCCCGATCTTTCAGGAAACACCTCCTGCTTTAAAAAAAAAACAAAACAGAAAACCAGAGATTTGCAATGAAATACACAGAAGCTAAAGGAAGGACATTGTACGGACAGTTGGAAATACTTGTGGTACCAAGAAACTGCAGCTTGTAGAATTGTCCTCCTCAAACTCAATAGGACAGTAGAGAAATTGTGCTGACTTGATTTCGCTGAAATGTCATGTCTCAAACATCCTGTGGTCCAAATGTATTCGTTTGTTCTGTGGAGTAACTTTCTCTTCCTTTGCTGGTATGAAATTTAGCAAAGTGGAAGTAATTTTGAATTAGTAACGTTTCTTACAGAGTTGCTTGATGGTTTACAAGTAATACTGATGCAAAAAGAGTATGTTCACTTTGTCCAGTCCAGTAGCACGCGCTTTGTTCACCTGCTTCAGTGTGTTGTGGGGTAACTGGTCGATCCCTCGCCGCGAGCGCGGGCCTTGTGCTTGGGGAACACCTGCATTCGTGCTGTTCTCTTGTACCGAGGATCAGTGACAGTGTTTTATCTTTTTTATGTAGTTTGTATTGACTGGATTTTATAACTGTAAGAAAACAGAAACAGAGTGTTGTATTTTGATCTGAAATTTGTCTATGGTAAAGTAATTTTGTTTTATGTATTGGAAGTTCATTTAAAACTTGAAATATTTTCTAGAAGCGTACCGAACAAAATGAATTGTCTTTAAGCCGTTTAATTAACCTAATAAAACAATTTGATGGGGAAGGCATTCTGATTGGTCCTAATTTTTACAGCAGCTCCTAGTAAATTTGCATCATCGATAAAGCTTGACTTGATTTCCGAACGGATTATTGTCTTTTTCACACCACAGCTCAAACGGTTTGGGTCTCAGCTGCGTGGATCGTGACTCTTGATGTAAGATCAACTCCTTGACGGCCACTCTCCACGGTCATTGCCTTGGTGGCTTCCAGCCCTACCAGAATAAGTCTCTATTCTGTCCTTCCCAAAAAAATCGGTCTCAAATTTCCTTTTCTTGGAAGAGAGAAAGAAATTACACTTCAGAGTAATAGAAGAGCTTGATATCAGCAATGTAGTTAAATGAGAATTCCTTCTGTGGCAGATAGAAGTCTAATTTCCTTTTGCTGCCTTGCCCAGAGACAGCAAGCCTGCAATGACCAGTGCTGCTGAAGACGTGCCAAAGGGAGATCTCTACCGGAGGTCAGGGGCAAAGAGCTTAGAGAATCTACTAGTAATGTTGAAGTTATGTAAGTCTGCCAGAATCACTCCTGAAATCACAGCAAGAGAAGAAGAAATGGAACATATATAATGGGATGAGTATATATTTCATACACACACACACACACACACACGAACCCAGTCCTGGAGGAATATACCCGAGATTGCCTGTTATAAATGGGGGAGGGGTACTTTGCTGGTTTTGACACAGGTGGAGAGAAGCACCTCACATGTTAACTCACTTCGTCCTCCCAACAACCCATTTTATAGCAGAGAAACTGAGGCCCAGAGATGATGTCACTCTGCCAAACCCATGGGCCCAGTGTTCCGGGAGGGGGCAGAGCTGGGATCCAAGCCCAGGCCGTCCAGCGTCCCGCCTCTCTGGGAAGGGGACAGACCTTTGTGAAAGCCACTCATTTGTTTCCTTAATGGCCAAGGGTAGAAAATCGGACAGTTTTGTGGCTGAAAGGGTCAGCTGGGGGGAGGCTCCCGGATGGGAGCCCGTTAGGAGGGTCCATGCTGCCGCCGCCACCATTTTTAGCTGAAACAAGCCAATGAGAGTCAAGGTCTAGCTTTAAAAAAAGTAAGACCAAGTTTGAGTGAGTTTGTGTGCATTTTGTTTTATTTTAAAAGAAACCTGTACTGGTTCATTCTTGTGTTTTGATTCCAAAAAAAAAGAAAAAAGAGACTTGTAGCTTTCCGGACAACCTGAGGGAGTTCATTCCTATGCCTGCCTGTGGTTCAGAGTAGCTTCTGAAATTTGGGTGTGAGAGGGGTGTGCTCTGAGTTATTGGCGCTGGATTTTTTCCGAGGGCGGGGTCAGCTGCTTCCGCAGGCCCCAGTCCGTTTGTACCCAAGGATCGATCTCTGCATTCCACACATTCCCTGTTAATAGAGTCGCCCGGGGACTGCAGGGGCTGTGGGCCCTGAGGGCAGAGGGTTTGAGTTCTAGGATGACCTTGGGAATCCATTTCCTGGGCTGGATCAGTGAGGTGGGGCCGGGTGGTGTCTCTGCTCTGCTTTCAAAAGTGGAGGATCAACACTTCATACACACTAGGATGGTTATCATAAAACAGCAGAGGGTATCCAGGGCTGCTGAGGGTGTAGAGACATCGGAACCCTCACGCGCTGCTGGTGGGGACGTGAAATGGTGCAGCAGCTGTGGAAAACCGATCGGGACTCTGATACCCAGATGTTCCCAGCAGCGTTGTTCACAGTAGCCACAAGGTGGAGACAACCCAGACGTCCATCAGGGATGGATGGATACACAAGCTGGGCCCCATCCGCACGGTGGAATATTATCCAGCCAGCAAAAGGAATGAAGCGCGGGAGAACCTTGAAAACATGATGCCACGTGAAAGAAGCCAGACACAAAAGGCCACGTAGGATTCCTTTTATATGGAATGTCCAGAGAAAGCAAATCCCTAGAGACAGAAAGTGGATCCCAAGTTGCCGTGGCCTGGGGGTGGGGCGGGGCTGGGGCGTGAGCTCTCATGGGCATGGGATGATGAAAATGTTCTGGAACTAGGTAGAAATGCTTGCACGCCATGGGGACTGTACTAAATACCACCAGACTGTGCACTTTTCAGTGGTTTGTGTTATGTAAAGTTCAGCTCAATAAAAAACAATGAAGGATGGACTAGAGCAATGAAGGAAACAGATCAACTCCGAGGCTGCCACGCTGGGAAGACTGAGGAATTCGGGAGTCCGGTGTCAAACGCAAAGTGCCGTGTGCTGCAGACGGTCCTGAGCGAGCAAGGTCAGGATAAAGAGGGCCAGCTTGGCGGTGTGGGGAGGCCACTCGGGGGTGGCACCCCTGAGGGTCTGCCAGTGTCTGGGTGACCTGCTGATGTCTTCCACGCCATCAGGGAATTGAACTACGTTTCTAAATTAGATTCAAGAGGAGCCAGTCAGTTAAACAAGAGACTGCTGGGTTCAAATCCAGTCTCCGCCACCAACTCGTTCTTTGCCAAGAGCCTATCCCCTGAGCCTCAGGTCTCCTAGGGACAATGACAGGACGTGTGGCCACGGCGTCGTGGGGGAGAACTCAGCTCGTATTCGGCCGTGGCCCACACTCGGCAAGACCCTGTGCTGGTTATTACGCTTTTGTCTCAGTCAGCACTGCTGTTGGAAAAGGAGCCATGTTTTGCCCTCTGTCGCCACTGCCCAGTCCGGCCTGCCTCTTCCCCAGTGGCAATAAGCGACCCGTCTCGGTCCCAGAGCATGGCAGAGCGGCGAGATCGCGCGCCCCCTCACCACTGAGGGGGAACCCGAGCCACCGCGAGATTGTAGAAAAGGCAATGCCCGCTCCCCCAGCCTGGAGGTGGGGATGCTCAGAGAATTCCCAGCCTGGGAATCTTACCGTAAGGGTAGATATATTTTTATCCAGCAGGATATACTTATCAGCTAGGGCCAGGAAAGGGGAAACTGACTAACAATTCCAGCTGGACCAGATTTTCCAGATTCTAGAGCTGCCGCAAGGGCTGTGTTTCCCCGATGCAGCCGTGAGGCAGGGAGGGAGGAGAGCAGGAGACATCACCTGCCTGGGGTGTCGGCTCCTTAGCTGTCTTCCCCGCACCCTTTAAACTGCCCGGAGACTTGGTGGCCAGCATCCACTGGACACCTGCCATCCCATGCCGGGTCCTTGCTGCCGGTTATCTTAACCACATGCTCAAAGATCACGACCCTCACTTAACAGATGAGAAGGGCACAAGCTGTTTGAGTCCCTTAGTCCAAGTCATGTGGCTGGTCTCAGGCAGAGCTGGGATTTGAACCCAGGTCTCTTGATACCTAGGCCTGTGTTCCTTCTGCAACTGTCCTTTTGCCTTTTCACCATCTCTTTTTTG